CACACACACACACACACACACACACGCACACACACGCAGTGGCCTGGCCTATAATCGTCCCTATTTAAAATGCTAATTTCCTCTCTCCCGCAGGTGCCTAACTGTGTTTGAAACTAAATTGCTCGTCATAGCAGGTCAATCTGAGCCTAATGAATTCAGCTGTTCTCCCATTACACTTATCGATGCTGAATGGTGGACGACAGGTGCACTGAGCACTGAGGGTTTGAAAGCAAAGCCTGCAGCCTCTTCTTTCTTTCTCAGATGGATTTCCACATCCGCCTGTGAATATTTTAGTGTTTGGCTTGGATGAGGCTTTGACCTTTGACCATCTCCATTACGCAGGATGTTTTACTCAGGGACGCTCACTTGCTCACTGACACTAAACTACCAATCAGATTAAATCCCCAGTCACCACACCAGCCCATTCCTGACTTTAAGGTCAAACACCGAACAGGAGGAGCACTTGCTTTATTCAAAGCGGATTTATTACATAGTTTACTCTGTGCATGTGCATGAAATACGGACTTAATAAAAGCAGATAACAGCCACTACAATGTAGAGGCAATGTAGCTCTAAGGATGGAGATCATTTACATAAAAATGCATCAACATGCACAGAGGCACATATACAAAGTGCCTACTGAGTGTATTTAGTGTTTTCTAAGCCTGCAGCACACTGCAGTAATGCTATGGTCAGGATGCAAAACACAGGATGTATGATAGTGTGGGTGGATGGTAGAAACACACATACCACATAATGCTTAAAGCCTGTAAGTATTTCTCAACCCTGATTCCCAAGATCTTTGGTTTATGACCAGCTGTGGAGACAAGGGTGAGCAGTTTTAAAAACAGTCTGTGCTCAGATCAGCACAGTACAATTTAACTCAAGTAATGCGAGAGGGAAAAGTGTACTAAGTCTACTAACTTCACTGTCAAACAACAAGAACAATGTCCTCGCTTCCTATCCAAACTGTGCTATCACTCTGTCTTGAAGCCCACAAACGCTCGCACAGAGAGCCACAGACCCCACAGAGAGTAATCACAGGTAATGATAACCAAGAGAGAGCATAATTTTCCTCCATAGCACAGCGACACGACACAACAAACCAGCCTCTCTGGGGCTGCAGAGCCATGTGAGGAGGAGAAGTGAAAGGAAACAGCAAGGGAGGGAAGTAAGAGGCCGCAGGAGGACATCGGGCAGAAAAACGTCAGTAAGTGACCAAATATTCTCCACAGCTTTCTCTGCTGCTTCGCCTGAGGGTTCACCCACAGGTGCAGGAACAGAAAACAGGAGAAAAAAGAAAGAGAAACACGACGAGAGAAAAACAGAGAAGGATGACGTAAACGTTGCTCCTCACAGTTTCTTGTGGGCAGGGCCTCTTACTGTGGCTCTGGATCTCATACAAGAGGCAGATTTAGAGTTCATCGACAGCTGTGATGTAATACTTAATGCATGGCTATAAATTAGCTCATACGGTATTACCATGTGAGCCTGAACCACAGCAGCACACCAGGCATGCAAAGGATGGTGGGCTGGAGCTAACTGTAATCATTCAGTAAGAAGCAGAACAGAGCAGGAAAGCCCCTCCTCTCTATAGTCACTTTACAGTAAGTGCTCTGTGTTATTTTCCCTCCTATAAACAAACAGTCAATCAACACCCTAATTCAGTTTATTAGCATGTCAGGTTTCACTAGACCTTTTTCATGTGTGAATGTATACGTAGTTTTGGTGCAGTATTCCCCACATATCTACAGAACTGGGGGTTCTTTTCCTGTTTCTGTGATGTTTGCAGTTTGAGGGTGGGTTACAGGAACATTGCTCAGCTGAGCTCAGTTATTGGATGTCAAGTGGGATCAAGTAGCATCTCTTCTCAAAAATGAGGAAACATTTTCAAAGATTGATTTACTGATGTAACTAAACTGCTTTGCTCATTTATAAAGTTGCTAGATGCTCTAACAAAGATTATATCAAAAACCGGGTTGGGTGCATGCACACTCTCACAGATCTAAGTGAACAGAAATGTATATGTCAGAGAATAAAATCTAATTATGCTGCAACTATGTTCTTGTTAGAAAACAGTGTAAACAATAGCGAGTCTGAAGTGTTGAACCTCCATTCATGTCGTACCCCTTGGAAATAAACTGTTAAAGTGTGTGTCTCTATCATAGATGTGTGAGGCTGCGATTCTCCTCTCTGTTTCAAAGGGTTAAATATATCACGTTCTCAGGGGAATGAAGCTAATCTAAAACAGTGGATTATGTAAAGGGAACCTTAGCTTGGGCTAATCCTTCTCTCCTGTCTGACTGCCTCACCGCTCTTTGATGTGGGTTTTTTTTTTACAGTGGAGACGATGTGGTGTCAGGTAGATGTTGTTATGTTGTTGTTCCCCTTGAGAGAAACAGGAATAATGCTGTTGTAACATCTCTGTCCAGATATCCTCCTTTAAGTATACCAGAGAGTAAAATTATACACACATGTGGACATCCCAATAGCTGCGAGGTTGCTTGCAGCATTTTCCACTACATAAATGCCCATGATCACTTGCTCTGTTATTGCCCTACTTGTTAATCATGGGAGTGAGAGTCTTCTGTTTGCATGCAAACTCAGTGATGGTTCATGGCTGAACTCATGTGTTTTTGTCTGACGGACTACTTCAGATGTGTATGTTGGCATATTCACTGCATGTTTGTGCCTGTAGCACAGACATTTTGTAATTTTTGGTTTTGTAATTTTTAAACAGATTCCGTGTTTTTCTCTTCATTTTACACGTGTCAAGTGTTTCTGTGTATGGAGAAAGAGGGATTTCTCGTTTAATCGCCTGGTAAGTCTGATAATGAGATAATTGGACAGCCTGCTTCTTGCCCACCCCTCCCTCTCTCTCTCTCTCTCTCTCTGCCTCTCTCTCTCTCTTCAGACCCCTCTGTCCTTGGTTGACCACTCCCTCTTCACACCCATTGGCCTCTGCAACCAGAGCTGACAAGCTGATTGGCTGCAGGGGGAACTCTGAGGCATAGGACTATTTAATTATGCTAATCCAAGACACTGATAAGGAGACGTTTTAAAAAATTCAAAACCTCTGGAAACACATGCACACACTGAGGCAGTGTGGTTTAGAGAGAGAGAGGGCCTCTGTGAGAAATACGTGAGAATATTTTGTCAGAGTAAGCAGAGAGAGGAAGTGCAGGACACAGAGAAAGAGAACAGTATAAATCTCCATCTATGCATAAGCTTCCCTTTTTTCCTCATTTTGAAACACTCAGTAGTGATTTAAATATCACATTTTAAATCTAAAAATTCTCTGGATGCTGGGCTTTCCCTCCCCCCACTCAGAGCTCAGTTCCTCCTCTGTTGCTGGTACGCTGCTGGCCTTTCCCCTCTCTTGTTGCTAACTGATGTCTGTGGGCGGATAACACTGCTTCACTGATGCACAACTCATGAAACACCACTCATTTTCCCCCCTTTCTTTCTCTTCTTTTTCATCTGTGCCTAAAACTATTTCAGCACCAGATAATTCTTGATGTGCACAAACATGTCATCACTGCCTGGTGTTTTTTTTTTTTTTATCTTGAAGAGCTGCACCCAGTAGACTGTTAACACTGCTTCCTCTAACAAACTGATTCTAAACTCATTTACTTTTAGGATCAACGACCCTGCACTAGCTTTTATTGTCCTTTACTGTGGGATTCATTCCAGAACTGTTCAAAGCAGTGTTAAACCTACACAATATGCTGTGAATCTTATAGTCTGAATCTATCAGTAATCTTTTTTTCTTCATGACTTTTTGTGTGGATCATGTAGATAAAACAGTTTAGTTTATAATCTCCTCGTATAAATGCTGGTAACCTCCTGTGTCCCACAACAGCCGAAGTGCACAACTGCCTCTGCAGTCCAGCAAAAACACAGGATCCGTGAGAGCTCAGCGGTAAAGCTCTGCCTGCCAGAACTCAAGCTGCACTGTGGAGACAACCGACTCCTGCAGGATGCTGAACAGAGGGGGGACAGGCAGCTCTCACCCTCACCTGACTCTCCACATCTTTTTGCTTCATTTCTTACATGCAACCTAAACGTTCAACCATTAGATATCAGTGTATCTCCAGCTGCAGATGGTGAGGCAGGCAACTCACCTCAGAGGACAAAGCTTACAGCCTTCTCGCCCACAACAACATCGTTACAGATGTGCACTTCCTGAGAACTACTAGAGGGTTGGCTTCTCACTCTGTCTGATGTCTCTAAAGAAAATTATGAATGTCTGGGTTCAAAACCAACTGCGGAAGAATCAAAGGAGTGAGGAGGGGATGTAAGGATAAACAGGAATGAAGATAACAACTGCAACAAGGGTATTATTCAGTTCTCTGTGCCTGCTTGGTTCTTGTCCTCTAGTTTTGTGCTTGCAAAAATTGTGCTTCAATTAAATACAATCATCTTTTAGTTATGTAATTCTGCTAAAAATGCATCATAAATGTAATGTAAAATTAATGTATTGAAATTAAAGAATTAAGAATGGTAGTCGTTTGATGTGATTATTATGGATATTCAGGCATCCTTAGAAGCTCATGGTGGGACTGAGAGTTGAACTGCAGAGTTCAAGACATATACATCGAAAGAGAGAAAGTGGGAGAGAGGGAGAAAGAGGTGGGATGGAGCAACAGAGGAGGGGGATAGTAGAGAGATCGAGTATCTGTGGGAGTATAATTAACTCCATGGTCTGCCTCTCTGCAGGCCTGCGGCATACAGCTCTGAAATGCTGATTCAGTACACAGATAGACAGAATAGCACGGGAGGGAGAAGGGGGTGAGGAGAGGGATGCAATGAGAGAGAGAGAGGGGAAAGAGTGGGGTGTTGCAATGAACAGAAAATGTGAAATGAAGCTAAGACAGCTCAGCAGGACGGGTTCTCATAATTCTACACACAAAGAAAGCAAAGTGTAAATAATGATATTAGTGAGAATAAAGCTGTTTAAATGAATACAATGTAAGATCAAATAGTTCAGTAAGAATCACTTTGCAGTTACAGTGAGTAGATGGTATACTTGAGGCAGGTTATCTGCAGAGTGTGTACTTGACTTTATCAAGTGCTGAGCATTTGCAGATGCTTTAGACAGCAGCATAAAGCCACAGCCTGCATTATCAATAGAACAGTGACATCTAGAGGTGGAACTACAGACATGACCTGCAAAGAATTTCTACTGCGGAACTGCTGATAGATACAGTTTCCTACTTTGTTCCTCTACCTTTTAGACAGAAAAAGAGTACGCTGAAGTCCTCACTGCCTGAGGACGCTGCTCAGTGCAGCACTGCTGCTTGATGGGGGCAGCTTTTAGTCGTTAATGTGTCTGTGTGAATTTACTTTTGTTTAAAAAACATTTTTGAAAGAAAAAAAACAGCTGATAAACCAAGTACGGCCAGGGTGACGGTGTTGAAAAGGGTAGAGTGCTGACTCAGTGACAGAGGGAGATAGTTACAGTTGAACGTTGACAGTCTGTCACCAGGCTGGGGGCAGAGGCAGCTCACATAATATATAATGCATCAAGACGAGTGTCAGGTAAACTGGAGACAAGGACAAAACAATAGAACCAATGGCTGGATGAAAGGAGGGGAGTTTTGTAAGTACTTGGTGGACTGATCCTTTACGGGTTTCTTCTTGATGGTCATTGATTGACAGATTTTGTTTATATGCTCAATTTTTATATTTAGGTTCACTTATAGGTGTTTAACATTTCCTAAAATCTGATTATGTTCATAGCTTCACTGTTAAGACAAATAAAAACATTCTCGAGATGAGCAAAAAAGTAAAAGTCAGTGTACTTCTAGGTGCAGGTTCAAAGCAGGCTGCTGATAGACGGCTTCTTGTGTTGATACTGAGTATGAGTCATTGTTGCTATTTACACATCTACAGTCTGTTGCTTTCACTATGACACAAGCTAATAAATTGCATTCTTCAAAATATGGCAGCACATGACAGAACAAATGTTGTTTCCCCTGGTTTGTTGAGCAGGAGAGACTACTGGCACTTTCAAAAAGATCCAGTCAACATTTTTAAAATCCCCCACCCTTAAACAACAGGAGCAGTGCTGGTTCTGTAAATATAAAACATTTTACTGAGTCAGAAATTATAGTCAACTGTTACTGCCTTTCAGCAGACAGCTCTGAGGACTTACCACTGATCTCATACAATATGTATGAATAAATGTAATCAGGATTAAATAAAATGACACAATAAAAGTACCTGCCTTTCAGTCAGGTAATTTTTAACAGTATTTTGACGTAGTGTGAACATGTTTTTAAAAACATCATATAGCAGCTTTGCAGCAGTGAACAATCATAGTCAAGTCCTGGAAAAGTATCCCGCATACCATGTAGACCAGGGTTCAATCAAAATAACTAAAGGTCTGACAAGCAGTGGAGGTGTTTGCTTAGAGTGGGTGGGCAGTACTTCCACACAGCAGTTCTTCTTCTCTGTCAGCCATGTCCGTTCTCCTGGCCCTGTCCATCTGCGTTGGTTTCAGGTTGATGGTCTTCCATTTGCAGGAAGCCCCAAGTTTTGAGCAGAGCAAAACGCTGAGCAGGGAGAGTGGAAAAGTAGTCCTTCTGTCTCTGAGAGTAGATTTGGACTGGACGGACGATGTCTCTGTAGCTCCAGTCCTGGTGACGCAAATTACACACTGATATGACTTCCGACGGTCAGAACCGTTAATCAAACTACAATCAAGCTGTAAAGAAACTGTGTCTTCAACAACTACCTAAATTAAAATGAATATATACAATATTTCTATTTAAGGGCTGTCACATTATTGTTAAATTACCAATAAACACACAAGCTCCCCACATCCAGGTTAAAGTACTGTAAGTCTCAACAACAGCATAAAAGAGTTATGGGGTGCAGAAAGCGTTTGTAAATTATAATATTAGCTCGAACAACTGAAATGCTTTGAAGATTTTAGCAAGACTTTTAACAGAGGGGCTCAATGGAGAAGAAAATAGAAATGAATAAATGATAAATTCCTTAATTAATCAAAAATATTTCACACCCATATTTTATCTTTTTAGTTCAAATAAATTTCAGACAACCGAAATCTTCACAGAAGTGGTGCCCATGGGACAACAAAACCTCCAACACATGGGTAGTCTATTATCTAATGGCCATCTGTCTGGTTGTGTTTGACATGAAATAGTTTAGTATACCTCTCTCAATTTATTGTGTGTGCCACAGGTGTTATAAGTGACAGTGCTGAGGTGCTGTACCTGCCAGTGAAAGTTGAAAGCCTCCAGCAGCTGTATCCTGCCCTCTCTGGTGGGCACACAGTCAGGAGGAACAGGCTGCACCATCTCAGAGCCCACCATCACATCTCCAAACACCAACAGAGCTCTGATGGCAAACCAGCCCCCAAACCTCGGGTGCACACACACTCCAAACATTTTCTGTGAGTAAACAAGAGGGAGATCCACAAAACTCAGGTGAGGAGACGAGAAGGGAAACGCTACTCCACAAAGTATTGAAATTCATCTAGGCAGCAACCGATCAGATTCCACAAAAAGCATTACTTTTTCAGCCCAGGGTTGGTCTGTGACATCAGATTTTTGGTAGTAGAAAGCTGCTCCAGACACGTGAGCTGCAGTCTGTGCCAAGAACTTCGGCTTCCTGCTCGGCAGCATCTCGTAGTCATACATCACATCCACCTTCTGTCTTGGAAAACACTGCAGGGCAGGGAGAGGAGAGGGAAATATTCAATCACAATCTGATCATGAAAATAGTTGTAGTTACAATCTTTAACTATCTCTAACTAGGTTTGAACAATACAATTATATACATCATTAAAAAAATGCAAGAGAGGATTTTGTCATAGCGTTTAATGCTATAATTACATCTACTGGACCACTGTGGACAATGCTGTAGGACTGCTTTCCGACATTTTATGCATGATTGTATAGTGGGTTGACTTTTCAGGTATCTAATTAACTGCATTATCCAAAACCAGGAATTCCCATCTGATTATTTTATCTATACTATATGATTTTTCAATTAAAATTCCGGACAGCTTATATCAGGATGTAGTCAGATAAAAGTCTTGTCTGTCCGTCCCTTTCTCCACACCCTTCACCTGTGAGACTGCAGAGGTGACACAGTGTTTGACACACTGGTCTATGGGGTCTGAAATGCCATGGCAGCCACTCTCCTTCAGGAAGGGCAGGAAGGCTTGTTCAAACATGGCAGGAGTGCTGAGTACCACCACAGCAAGGGTGTCATCGGGGAAAGCCAGGCGCAGTGACGGAGGGAGGACTGAGTTATACCAACCAACCTGTGAACATGCACAGAAGCACAAATAAACAGCGTTTTTCAAAGTGAATTGTCTTACACAGTATGAAGCCCTTCTTGCTGTCAAAGCTTCACGCTAGAGAGAAACTAGTGCCACGGTACCTTTAGAGGATAGACTTCAAATCCCAACTTTGGTAACCAGCTTTCTAACAGTCCTGTCACACTTTGCACGTCGAGAGTGGTAGCCGCCATTGTTGCGTGTCAACATAGAGTTTGGTATTATGGGTTATGGTGTTCTTTTGCGTCTCCAGTGTCAGAAATTAAGCTAGAGTTAAGCGAAAGTTTTTTTGCATTAATTTGTTCTGACAAAATGGATGGCTATATTACGATACACAATACAATGTGTTTCGGAGCAATTCTACTGCAGTATTTTGGGGATTTTGTGACTAAAGAGGCAAAGAGTAGAATATCACACCTACTACAATACCCAGAATACTCCTGCGGATACGTCATACGCAATCACGTCGCCGTTGTGGGCTCCTGGATTTAAAAGTGGAGTCGCAAGGTTTTCTGTGAGTAGCTTGATTAGCCAGCTAGCAAATGTAGACGTTTGTCGTTAAATATTACATATTTTTCAGCAACGCGTTTTACGTTTTTGAGATAAAGCATAAATGATTCAGGGTCTTAAAGGCGGTGGTTATTTTTTTCTGTCTACCAAGACAGTAACATGAACGCTAAGAAAAAAGTCGTCATAAAACTGCTGCTAACTGGAATTAGCTTAGGTTATGCCAACAGTTGCTATCTAACGTTTGCTCGGTCCAGTTATATATGACCTTGAAGTGTTTAGAGTGCATTTTTCTGTGTCTTCGACATTAAGCAGGTGGGGGTGGGGTCCTGCGCTGCATCACTTCCAGTTTAAATCTGTAGCTGCTCCTGCAAACTGCAGAGATATTCCCCAGGGGACGAGAAGCTTTTTTAAGCAGACCTATTACATTCCCGGACAGCCTGCACACAGCTACACTTTCCTGAGTAACAGCTGATATCTGATAAGCAATCAAACGTGCAAATACCCAGGCCTGCTGTAATTTAATCTCCCGGAAAGTGTGAGAGCCCTCGGCTTGGTTGTTACCTCACCAACCAGCCACAAAACACGTCTAAAGTTACTGCTCTTTGATGTAACATCACTGACACTGTCTCGCATGACCGTTTACACCTTGAGTCGTGAATTAACCAACTAAAACCGATGAATGATGCATTTGCTAACTTCCCTTGATGCATTCCTTTCTAGATCTACTCAGACATGAACTGGGACAATCAGCTGAGCTGTATCCTGTCTGAAGCAGATGGCAGCGTTGCAAAGATGAGGGTGAGTACATTCAACTATCATCCTCCTGAGTTATTGGTCTTGCAGGAAATAACAGATAATGATATATAATAAAAACACATTATGCTTTTAAAGAGTGTGTGCTCCTACTGTGCATTGTGCTTGAAGAGCATTAAACTCTGGTCTTGTGGTCAGTTGTAAATTGTTGTTATTATAGCTATCAATAGATGGCAGTAATGCTCCACTAAAAATTTAACATGGTAACTCAGTTATTCAGATATGGAGGCGGCGTACTGATACTGAGTGTGGGAAAACCCTTTCAATCTGAAAAATGTTTTTGTCCTCAGGAGAGACTGACCTCACCAGGGAAATTCTCCAAAGGAGGCGAAGGTTGGTGACCTGTTTCAGATTAATGAATATGACTAAAATGGGAAATTACCTATTTGTGCGAGTGTGTAACATTCTCTCTTTCAGACCTCACAATACAGTTCAGACCACATTATAACAGAGAGTGGTTTGAACTCATTCGTTTTGATTTGAGCCTTTTGTGGTCAACCTCCCACACATTCCTCTTCCTCTCCAGATTTGTATCCCATGAGGGAGCGGATTCATGATTCGGATTTGGACCCTCCTGCTCTTCCCCCTCGAGCCCCCCTTCTCCGACAGCCTTCCCCATCTCTCAGTCCTGGTGTGCAGTGGGCAGACCTAACTGCTATCCAGTCACAACTCCAGATACAGAGCCAGGTGTGTGATTATTTGTTTAATGAAGCAGGTGTGCAGTTATTTGTTTGATCAAGTGCCATAGTGAAAATTCAAAAAGTTGCTGCATTTATGTGATTTATTACAGTGTTGTTAGCAGTGACAGAATTCCACATTTCTGCCTAATGTTTTTACAAGGCAATTGAGTCTCTCACCCAGCACATCCATGACATGGAAAGGGAGAGACAGTCGCAACAACGTCACATCCAGACGCTACAAGGTAACTGCTGCGCCATGACTACTTATCTCTGTTTATACTGGCTCACATTGTCCTCATGCAAACACAGCAATACCTGACTCATGCCGGTGTCTACTAGAAGAAAAACATTCTTATCCAAATCAGCTCTGTTTAATGTGGTCACGCCCAAAGTATGTTGCCAGATCACATATGAAAAATAAACAGATGCCAGAAACTGTCAAGTTGCTACATGACTTATTTTAGCACAAATAAATCATTATCACATGATTTTTGACATGTTTGTACCTTCCAAATTGTATTAAATGCAGCTGATTAAACACTTGAATTTGGAAGTCAGATCCAGTTTCATAATTCCAAGTCTTTCATTTTGAATCTCTGACCTGGTAAAAGTCATTCATGTCCACATAGCCACCCATCTTGAATACTGTACCTATTTATTTTTGGATCACTCAGGTATCTTAACTGATCCAAAACTCAAAATAAAAAACGGATATTACCCCTCTTCATGCCTCACTTTGCTACTTCCCTGTTACTTTCACTGTTTAATTTTATATACTGCTGTTTTCATGAAAAGCAGTGCATTCATTTATGAACTGCTGTTGTTCTACTACTCCACTCCTAACCCAAGCTTGTGTGTGCCTCACTAAAAGAAAAAGCTGGCGACAGTTTTATCAGCGGCAGTACTAAAATTACAAAATTCTCTTCCTCCTCCTGCTTGGTTATCTCTGTTTGATAACAGACAATTTGAAACACACTAATTCGTCCCTCTCTCTTTGCAACCTGCATGCAACCTCTAGTTTTAACTTTTGTTCCGCACTATCATTTAAAATGTTTAAAACCGTGTTGTGGTTGAAATGCTTTACAGTATGTATTAAAAATAACTGAATTGATTGGTTTAATCACAATAAACAAACAAAACCTTCATGAAGGGGACAAGCAGGCTATTCCAGCCTTTACTTGGCATTATATGCATATTGGGCATGTCATCTGTTTAAATGGCGTAGATGGGCTCATCAGGAGAAGATATTCATTCATAATTAAACTTATTAATAAATTATTTGGATTTGTCCACAAGCAGGACTCCTTCAGGGGGAAAAAAACCCTTACTCATAGAAATCTCTTCTTTTACAGAGGAGGTTCACCGGCTGCATGAGGCACTGAGGGAGAGTGAAAGAGCGAGGGACGAATCAAGGAGGGGCCAAAGTCCAGGAGCAGAGAGAAGGATGGAGCAGTGGAGGAGAGAGGTGGGACGTGAGCTGAGCAGTCTTCGGGGACACATCACCAGAGCCACGTCGCTAGGCAACCTGGAGGAAAGGTGCATTAGGCGTGGAGCTGTGGGGCATAACTGCAGACTAAACTGATGATAGGTCCAGCTCGTGATTGACATGAAAATATTTACATCTCATGTGGAATTAAAAAAGTCTTTGCTACTACAAAGGCTTCTTGGTGACATTTTCATTTTGTTGGAAAGACCAAGAGAGGAAATGAAACACCAGTTTTGTCACCACTTCTTTCTTTCCCCCCAGTTTCAGCTCAAAGCTTCGCCGAGAGGAACTGGAGCACCTGCGGAGAGAGGTGGACCAACTGAAAGCACGGCTAAGTGAGTCACATACTCACACACACACGTACATAATGCCCTTGCATTAATTCTGCGGGACTGCACATGTCATAAGCTCTGCTGGCCAACAAAGCAAAGGCAGGCACAGTCTTGCTCACAACGTCAGTTCTTTCTTTTCCTTTTGACAGGGAGACAGGAGGAGGACGTGTTCCTCCAGCAGGCAGAGGCCAGAGAGACCAGGAGACAGTACGAACGCAGCTGCAAGGTACACACACATTGTATCACACAAGTTGTGTTTGCTTGTGTGATGTGTGGTTTTTTTTGTCTTTCAGATCCTTAACCTTTTCTTTGTGTGCTTTGTTTAGACACTGGAGGAGCTAACAGACAGCTACAGAACTCACAGCACTGATCTGGCAAAGACTGTCTCTCAGTATTCACACACACAGCAAGAGGTCCGCCAGATCAGGTAAATGTGTGAGTGTGTGCACATATGTGTGGGTCTGGGGTTATGTTTCATCTTTCTGTGGATTACATATGTTACATTTAATCTCTTACAACAGAACAGTTGTGTCAGAACTGAAGGAGGAGGTCCGGACGCTTGTTCTTCGAGAACGTGCACCAACACCTTCACTGTCAGCACACACATCAGGCAGGTCTCTCTCCCAATTAAACTCTCAAACACACACACAGCGTGATAAAACTATTTAACCACATTTTTCTCTCTGAATCAGGGGCATTACCACTCGCACTCCCACACGGTCACAGTAGAAGAGTCAGAGTTGAAGAGCAAGACTCAGACTCAGAAGACTTTAGTCCAACACCCAGCCTGGCCGAGGTCAGCTCAGATGATCTGTCATGGCTGGATGACAAAGAGCCCGGTAAGGATGAATGAAAAAGGCGCCAAAGCATGGTTGCCTTGTGCAAGATCAGCTATTAAAGTACAGTACGCTGAGTCATATTCACCAAATGCTTCTATTATATAATTTTCACAAGCCTTCTGTCCACCTACATGCACAGCAACAGAAACATGTTGTGACAATTGGATCAAGCGCTCCAACCAACAGAAAACGTTACGTAGGGCACCAGATCGGTACACATTGATGATGGTTTTAGCAAGATGGGACATGTAGTTCCCCCTCCTGTCCCTCCCCCACACATCTGGTTCAACCATTGCTCTGATTAATCTCAGCAGATATGACTCACTGTGGAGAGTACTAGTCTGTGTTTACCATTTGACTATAAAGTTAGTTAAATTAATAGGTTGACATTTTGGGAAATATATTTATTCGCTTTATTACTGAGATTTAGATTAGAAGAATCTATGAATGTCTCTCCTGGTTCCCTTGTAATTTCATGTTTACTACAGGACATCACTGCTCCCAGCCACCAAGTAGTACTGTAAATAGTCCCCATAAAACTGACCCGAGTGTGTAAAAGTGTAAAAAGTCACTTTAGTTTTTGTACGGATCTCACAAACCAACAAACATGTTGCATATTGAGCTTTAGAGGTGAGTGTACTTGTTACTTTTGAACAGATCCAGGCTAGCTGTTTTCCCCCGTTGTCAGTCTTTCAATTAAATTTTATTTGTATAGCGCCAAATGTTGTTAATGTTGTACTATTCCTTTAAATATATCACAAGAGGAGATGATATATTTAAAGCTCGAGAAGAAGTGTAGAAAGACAAGAAGAGAAAAAAGTGGACTCTGGAGATGTTTAGCACCATTGTGAACAAGTTTGTAGTCCTACTGTGTTCCTCCGCCTGCAGATAAATCAGTAAAACTCTCATTTCCTCTCCACCAGGCTCTGCAAAGCCAGTTGTTTCTTGCAAAATTTTGTACTGTGTGTGTGCATGTTTGTGCGTGAGTGTGCGAGCGCATGCACTGCTCAACCCTGAGACTTACTGTAACAGAAGGTTGATGTTCCCGGAAGAGATTACGATCTCTGGTCTAAATGTTTCCCAGAGTGATTTTGGGCCCGTGAAGCTAGGCTAATTTAACATGCACACACACACACACGAACATGCGCGTGCACACACACACACACTCATACTGGTACACAGTTGTTATGGGAAAACATTTGAATGTCTTCCAACCTAATCCCACGGTGTAATACAGCAAAGAGGCACTTAGTCACTCACACACAAGTTAACTGCTCTTCCTCTGCTCTTCACCTCTGACAGCTCCGCATCAGAAGCCACGGGTACATCTGAGTGTTCAGTCCAGACGGAGCAACTTTGCTGGTCCAGGATCTGATCTAGAGGATCACCATGATGATGATGATGATGATGATGATGATGATGATCTCGATCTCCTTGACAACATTGTGAACCCAGATTTAGGATCTGACCTAAGTCTTGATGACCTCTGACCTGTTCTAAGGTGAAGCTCTCTAATTTAACATGGAAAGACATACAGACATTTCTTCTGACTCTAATACACTACCCAAGATGTATTAATGCTTTCAAACTGATTTCATTTGATCAGTACATTTTTGAGTTAGAGTTGTGTTGCAAAACACAAAACTTTAAAAATAGAAATAGCCAGGAAAACACAACCAGCCATATGGCATATTTCCTTTGTTGTCCTGAGGGAAGAAGAATGCAGACAAAGAAAGGCAATAGCAGCAGACTTGGCATAACAGCAGTGGCAGATGCATATAATAACGAGTAATAATGTCATCCTACTTAGTGTTATTGCTTTTGCTTAACAGACCTGCTTGGATATGATGTGTGCTGAATCAAATATAGCAGTGAGGAAATTTCTTTTCAGTGTGAGAAATTCTCAAACGCTTTTTATAAACAGTTAATTGTGAGAATAACAGAAGTGTGAGAGTCTCAGGAAAGATCACACAATCAAACTAGTTTTAATCTTTATTTTGACTTTGACGTGTGAGTGAGTCAAAGTCAGTCTAGTCCCATTCACATCATTTAAAATAGTATTCATCAAAGAATTGTTTTCCTTCAGTCTAGCTAGTGACGAGGCTGAAGTCTGCGAGGACTGTACACATACTGCTGATAACTGTTGTAGCTGCAAATTGTCTTGAATCATTTACAGTAACTATGTCCACATGTACAGACTGATAGGACGCTGGAGAACAAACTGAAGAGGCAGGGAGCTGTTTTTTTTTGTTTTTTTTGTGAGAGTTTCTCATTCAGAAAACATCTCCTTTCATGATGGTGGATGGCAGAGTTTTGGGTCAGCAAATAAGCAAACACCCTCTGCACCCATGATGCACATCACTGATGATAAATTATAGGTTCTACCAGAGTTGAGGACAGAAGCACTGTCCTCAACTCTGGTAGGCCAGCTTAACCACAAGGTTTGGTTTGAGGCAAGGCAAGACTAAAAATAGTTATGCTTAGGTTTGTTATGATTACAGATTGTTGGGGTTAGGTAAAGGTTTGATGTGGTTAAGGTTTGGGCAGGACTTTCATCTTTGCCCATAACTACAGTGGGATCCATAAAGACACCCCTCATCACGGTGCTTTTGATTTGCAAAATAAGGGCCTACAGTATGCTTATATTGCCTTTAGCTGGTATTTTCCAATTAATCAGTTTGTTGAATAACGAATTTAACTTAAATCTAATGATATTGCACTTTGACAATCTTTGATGACTTGATGTACAGTCATATATCAAGTGTAAAGATTCACTGTACCTTTTTTAGCTGGTGATCATTTGCTGCATGAAATGCTAAGTGTAGCAGAGTAATGGATATTTAATGAGTTTTTCTTCCTGACATAATGCACTCTTAAATCCAGAAGGAATCTGATGAGTGATGGGGTTTTGATTCCTGGTAATGCAGCTGAAGTGAGGACAAAGAGAAATCAAACACCATTAACATCAAGGCGCCCACACCCCCACCCCCACCCCCACCCCAACCCGACCTCCACTGTGATTTCTTTATATATACAGCTCAGTTAAGGCAGTCAAGAGTCCCTTTATGCTGTCTTGTCTGACATGAGTCACACTGTGCCAGGCCTGGTGTCAAGCTGTTAAATATTTCAGCATCCAGACACCCCCCATCGAGGATCCCAGACCACAGTGCAGAGCCATGGGGGAGCTGATGGGCAGGTTAGGTGTTCAGCAGGGTGTGCATATGGTGGCTTGGATCACAAAAGTGACCACAGACACTTTTCAGCTCATCTAACTAGGCAGGTTGTCTTACTAATCAGTAGTGAGCCAAGGAAGACTCAAATAAAAAACAATAAATGACTCGGCGCAGTGACAGCATCAGTATTTTAAGAAACCTCTTCTTACACTCTTCTTGTACAGCTGTTAATATCATGGTCAAAGACATTTCATGAAGAAAAGGGTCATCTATTTGCTGTTGTGGTAACATAATGGCTGATAAATAAGACTGCTGCTTTCTATTGCTGTTTTATTGCATTTGCCAAGTATTGTGTAGTAGTGCTGCAGTATAGCAGTGCACTGATATGTTCATTGAAGGTCTGTTTTATTGTTTCGTCTCTTAACAATAAAAGTCTGTGTTAAAGTTGAAAGAGAGGAGCTTGCCTTTCTGTGGTTGCCTCTATAGAGCAGCGTTGTGCTCTGATTGGTCCTGAGGTCAAAGAGCTGTTTACAACAAACTCTGTCAATAACAGATCTGAAGTGGGAATAAAAGGAAATGTAGTAGAGTATGATTTCAAAATACCTTTAATCATACAACACCAACAGTCCATAAATCACATCAGGCAGCAAAGCCTCATTATGCATTCAGGATACTTTTGACACTTAAAGAAATGGACAAATACAGGACTATACAGACATGTTCACCCCGAAATAAGGAATCTAAATTTAATAGGGGACGTACAGACAGGTGACAAATGGAAAGGAAAAACAAGGATTTATTGAATAATGCTATGGAGAAGTATTGAAGTTGCTCTGGGGGCTCAGTACTACTAAGGTACTCCTATGTTGGGTTTTCTTTAATTTGTCACCCATCTGTAGTTTTTCATGGCACAAAAACTCGTTTTTAAATGTGCTATATAAATGACTTGACAAATGAAGAACAAACACAGCTTTTAGCTCCGATTCATAAGCCTGATTTAAAATCGCTACACATTTGATGGATCAGTTCATAGGCTCTACCTTAAATAAACAGGAGCTGCGTATGTTTTGTATTGATGGGGCTCATTCTGTCATCCTGTATGTGTCTCACTTCCTCTCACATTTTCCTGCACATTTGTAAAGCGAAAATACAGCGTGGTCTATACACAGTAAAATCAATGGAATATTTCTGAACTTGCCTTCTGGGAACAAGGTGCTGTCAGGTCAGTCCATGTATCATTTTTAATGTGTTTGTGTTCGGTGAAAACTATAGGAGCAACTAAGATGAAAAGTTTCATAAAGTTGTCTTTGCATGACGCAGTCATCAGTAGTATTTACAATGCACAGGACAATGCTAACATTGTGTGGAAAGGCCACTGGCCAATTTCAGTCTGCAACTGTCATCGTATGAATGAGTGCCTCATGTTGAACACCCCCAAGGCTAGTCTTCAAACACAGGCAAGTCAGAGCAGCTACCTGGCCCTGAGTGTGCGTTTAAAATGGAATTGCACAAAATACTGGGAATGACTGGTAAATCTGGAAGTTAGTTGGTTGCAATATAAATACAGTATACAATAAAAGCTGTTCCTGTACTGTATAAGGCACTCTCTCCTGGACTGAAGACTCCAGGAAAGAAACAAAAAAACACTGCACATATCAAACTCATAAAGGCGTCAAGGCAGCAGGACCTTCACCACAGAANCCCCCCCCCCAAAATTTTTTTTTTTTTTTTTTTTTTTTTAAATATCGCCTCCAAAAACCCATACATGCACTCTTAACATACTCACACACATGCACACACACTTAAAACACACACACTATTATGCCTGCACTTACTGTACGTACGCACACAAACTTATTCTCACACACAAAATATTTGTCCACTTTTTTTTTTTTTTCCCCCACTCCTGAAAAAGTAAAGTGCAACCTCATTAACTCGATAATCAGGCCATTTGTTTTTTCTTCTTTCATTTCTCTTCTCTGGCCTCTCAGTCAGACTGCTAGACCTTTTGTCTGCTGGACTTTACAACATTAGCGGACTAAGGGAATTAAACCAGAGTCTGGGAGGACAGGCCGAATCTGTGTCCAGGTGTAAACCATCACACTGATGGGTACAACTGACGATGCCTTGTGCTTCACACCTATGCTTTTCATCTCAAGGGAAATCAAAATATATTACACAGCCCCAAAAGCTGGGCTGGAAAATATTAAGCATATAGTATTGAACAGAGGCGCTGACCTAATTTGTAATTACAGGCATCAAAATAGACTTTTTCCAAAGGGACCCCATCTTGGGTGATGTCTTCATTGTCCACTTCAGCTGCAATCATGCCCTTTCCTACATGTCAGTGATCTGGATAAATGAAAGCAAGCCAGAAATTTGCTCACACCTACCCAGGATTCTTTGTTTGCAAATTATGGCGAACGCTGCGGCATGAGCCTGGATTGAAGGAGAGTGTTTGGGCGCCAAATATTTCAGTCATGCCTCCATCAGTAGCTGTACATCGACAAGGGTGTGTCCTCCATCATATCATCCTGCACAGAAAAAATGTAACATAACAACTAATTACACATGATGGTCTACATGGTCGCAAGTGCTTAAAATTTAGATAATACAATAGATTTTATGGTACAGTCATCCTTAGTAAAAAGGTTTATATGTTGTAACTATTAGTTTTATAAACAATTTACTAATTCTTTATTAATCTGTTTGAAACCATTAATAAGACTTTATTAGAAAGTCATTAAAAGAATACTTATTAATTCTGATATTTTGGGAAATTCTGTGATTTGCTTTCATTTATTTATGAAGGAAAAGTTTTCATAAGCTCTTGTGGTGTGCTAAGGTAAATTTATTCTCACGTTTCTCACTGTATAATAAGCCAATGGCAAAAGTGAGTCAGTCATTCTTAATTATATGTTTATAAGTAATTAAGGGGTTGTATGGTAATATGCACTGTGGACTTTTATATGTAATACATTTTATCAATATATTTTGTTGTGCATGCTCTGCAGCTATTTTCTGGAAAGTCAAATGGCCCATTGATGTAGTAATCCTGATAAAATTACACAGACAAAGCAAGGATCCTGCCAGAGGAGGAGCAACACCAACCTGGCAACCCAGAAATTGCTCTTATTAATGGCTTTTTAATGGCTAGTAAATATAGCTGATAGAATAACTGATATAATAGATATAAGTGACCTGTAAAGCATTAGCCATTAGTTACAACTCATAAAAGCTTTACAAACAATACCTTATCAGAAAGTGGTGCAGATTTGGTTTGTAGCAATAAATCTGCAGTCATGGCAAATAAGTACTAGTGAGGTTGTAACAGTATATCTCACATCTGCGCTGGACAGTATCTGACGGACTGAATATTTTCACTGAGACAGGACTGTAGCTGTTGCCTGGATGTCAAGCTGTGCTCACCATAGGTAAATCCTGCAGCCTGCGGAACTCTGGTCGGTTGTCTCTTCGGCGCAGTTTGAGGAAGAGGAGCAGAGTGACGATGACAGCGGTGATGATGAAGGCTGACACCAGGCCAGCCAGAAGAGGGTCTAACGTGGGAGACTCGTGGACCATCGTCGCTGGAACAAAAAAAAAGAAAAACACAGGACATACTTGAGCAGGGGCCCATTCCTCTGTTAGCACACCATGGCCCAACTAAACAAGCTGGCATGCAGAGTTTAACATGGATTTTACTTCGACTTCACATGGTGAAAATAGCAGAATTACAGGCTCTTAAATGGCTGTTTGATGCTGTGACTCAAACTAAATATAGATGCTGCAGCAGCAGCATGTTGAGCTCAAGAGTTCATCATGTAGCTCAGGACAGAAATGTCAAACACAGGATAGTGATGTTAACCTTGCCCGTAAAGTACTTGAGCTCAATGTTGAGCAAGTACATTTATTCATAGAGCATGATTTTAAGATTTTGAATCAAGAAGTTTAAATAGGCTAGTACATGCATATAATAAAGTTTTAGAGTGCTGCTTTATCTCTAAGAACATCATCAGTCTTGGACTTTTTTGTGTTGAGGTCTGTTGTGTTTGTTTATCTCTCTGTGGGAGGAGTTAGTGTCTATGTATTTCTGTATACGGATGTTGCTATGGAATTCTGTTTTGTAAACTTAGCTGTTTTTTTATATCCTCTGGTTGAAAGTAACAACAACCACAGAGTAGCGAATGCTCCCTGTTCCTCTGGCTAATGGAAAGAGGCGAGATGCCAAGCATGGCCTAATAAAACCACACAGACTGAGAGAAGCAGAGAGACTTCATAGTTTAACTGTATTCACGCAGGCTGGTCAGCTGAGAAAAGTTTATCAGTTTTTCCTTCCTTTTTTTTTTTTCTTAATGGTGACAGCCTGAGCCTGGAAACAGACTTCTAATGGTGGAAAAATAAAAATTATCTACAGTATATACTGGACACGCAGAGTACAGATACAGAAAGTAGACGTATAAATCATTTAGCAGACAGACAAAGGGGGAGAGAGACAGAAAAAGAAGGAAAACAGAGCATTCTCAAGGCCTGAGTCCCATGACTGCCTCTGTCCCGTTCCCAAACAGAGCCATAATTGTGGAGTGCTTGGTGGTGACAGTGCTTGTTGAAGATGTAAACGGGGGATGTGTGGTTTGTGTTTGTGTGTGTGTGTGTGTGTGTGTGTGTGTGTGCGCGTAGAAGCAAGGACGGACTTGTGCTGGAAAACAAAGCACAGCATTGCCTTTTTCATAAAGCCAATTCACTTCTGTCTCTGTCAATATCCAGCCAGTGAATAGTCCAGAACACGTTTATATACCACAACACAGAAGATGTTATGTACTTACTGTCACCCCCCACGTTGAGCTGGGAGGGGGTATCAGCATGGGCTTTGGCCTGGGTGGAGGTCCCGCTCGGCGGGGCGATGGTGGACTTTGGTTGGTCTTGCGGTCCGTCGGACTGTGAGGTGTGTGGCGATGTGAGTGTGTGCGACTCAGAATTGTTGGGCTCTTGAGAGGAGCTGGTGCTGGACGTTGAATTGGACTGGGTGCTGGTAGGGGTAGTGGTGGCAGTGGTAGTGGATGAGTGTACTGCGGGGTGGGTGGGCTGCTTTGAGGGTGGGGTGGAGTCCGGAGGTAGCGATGTAGGATGGTTTGATGTGTTGGTGGGCTGTGTGTCTACGGGGATATTGTGAGCTGTTTGTGAGGGGCTTGTGGCGGTGGTGGTGGTGGTGGTGGTGGTGGTAGGGAGGATGTGAGAAGTGGTGGCCTGGCCCTCGGAAGGAAGAATTTGCGACGATGACGACTCTTCTGTTTTGTTTGCATTGTTTGTTTTGTTTGCATTGTTTTCAGGAGTAACAGACACAGAGGGAGAGACTGTGCTGGTGTCTGGGGAAAGAGAGAGAAAATGTTATTGACAAAATACTGATAATTCTAGATTATTCTGCCATGCTGAAATACTGCATGTATGCAATCAGCATGCTAACACTGGCCTACTGCACACTGATGTGTGTGCTCGTGTAAGAATGTGATGAATTAAGGGACCAGTTCACCTAAATCACTAGTAGAAATGTTTCATCACACTTTTCTAATGATATCTAGTTCATTCATTCATCTGAGGTTTTGAGATATACATCTCTAGTTTTCTGCCTCCACCTAAATACACTGGAGGTAAATGGAGTTTAATTTATGGGACAGCATTTAAAAGATACTGTTAAAAAAAATCATTCATGAGTGTGTTTTTACCGAGACTTCTTTCTAACAAAGAAATTGTCTCTTTGAAAACTGCTCTGTGGATTATCAGCAACAAGGGAATTTTTTTCCTGGAAACAGATGTTTCAGCCACGTGAGCAGCAGAGATGGCAATGTCAGTCTACTGGTCAGCCGGTCGGCCCAATACTCTGGTCCAGACTGAAATACCTCCAAGACCATTCATAGCTTTGAAATTTGGTATAGACATTCATTGTTCTCAGAGGATATATCCTCATAATGTTGGTGATTGTCTGACTTTTTCCTCTACTGCCACTATAAAGTTGCCATTTGTGGTTCACACTGACATGTCCTTATAACTACAACACAGATGGCCTTGAAAATTTGTACAGATATTTTTCTTCTCCTCAGTTATAAATTGTAAAAACTTTGATGACCCCCTTAACTTTTAATAAAGCAACAACATCAGGCCAAAGTTTCAATTTCTCCAATACTTTTGTTTATGACCATATACCTGCAAAATTAATGATATCCCCATTAGCCTCAGCTGTACTTAGTGTTTAGTGCTAATTAGCAGATTTTAGCATTCAAACATGCCAAACTACATAACTAACTTTAATGAACATGGGGTTTATACCTGCTTAATATCAGCATGGTAGCACTGTCATTGTGAGTATGTTAGCAGGATGGTGCTAGCATTTAGCACAAAGCATCACTGTGCCTATGTACAGTCTCACAGAGCCACTAGCTTGGCTGTGGACGCTTGTTAAAGTGTAAATCTTCCTGTGCTGTGAGCACCACAAAAAAGAATCCATTCACCTCCATTGTAGTGGGATGGAGGCAGAGGACTACAAGCTGAATATCAAAACCGCAGCTATCTGAATGGCATGACACCACAGACAATATCAGCTATTTAAATTTGTACAAGTGCAAATTGTCTTTCTCCACAAAACAAACTGCCTAAAAATGTGTGCTAACATGTGAATATGTTTATGAGTCTAATGTGTGAATCAGCACAGATGTGTGCGTAAAGCGAGAGAGAGAGACAGTGTGTATCTGGGGGGAGTATTTCACTTCCACCTTTCTCGACCCTTTGTGAAAAGTCACACAGCATTTAATCACTTCTCTCTTCAACACCATCGCTTCAGTGCTAACTTTTCTGAAAGTATATTTTACCATTGCTCTCCTAACATGATTGCACCTTCTTTAATTAAATCAGTCGTACTATTTTATTTCACTCCTTTATCCAACACCATCTCTGAAATTCTCTCCCTCTTGTGCTCTAGTTTTTTAAAGACTGAGCTCTTGGTCTCTGTGCCTCTGTTGTGTTTGTGGCATGATTGTCAGTCACTCTGTGGTCCACTTCTGGACATGGAGAGCAGAGATAAGGACTTTGTTAAATATAGCTCCTAAACTCTAAACCACCTGCTGCTTGGCTTCCTATTATTTTCTTCTGAAGTGTGACAAAACTTCCGTTCTGACCAACCTCAAACAGACAGATATAATAACCATAACATCCTATCACCTTTGTTTTTTCAGTCTTCTGTCATTTCTTATTTATGAAATCTTATTTCTTATAATCAAGAGTAGAATAGTTACCATTATCTTTCTTTAGTTCGGGTGTCTGGAAGGTAGTTGTTGTGTTGCTGCTCAAACTGCTGGTGCCACTGGAACTTGGGTTTGTGTCAGAGCCATTTAGTGTTGGTGCAGGATGTCTGGTGGGTACCGGGCTAGAAGTAGGTACGGCAGCTGCAGTTGTGGCCTCCGGAGTCGGCCCAGCACCAAGAACACGTTTTACTAATGAGGAGAGGACAGTGCCAAAGTTGGTTAATCACCAATTTCATCTTCAGAGCCATTAAGAACTTATTTGCCTATTACTCCAACCAAACATAGAGCAACAGACAGACAGTGTGTCAAAACCATCTGTATTAACGTAGAGTATACCAGTCAACACAGGCCAGTGTTTATCCAGACAACAATTATTAAAACTGAAAAACAAAAAGAAAAAAAGCTGACTATGTTTACATATTTCCAGCAAAGCAGTGCTGCACTTTAATAGCCTTACATGCTCAGTGCACCACAGTCTTGTATCGATCAGTGAGCATCCTCCCTAGAGCAAACAGTTTAGAGTTTACAGCCTTCCTAAAGTGTTAGGGAAGAAAATAACGTCATATTCATTTTGCAAACCCAGACTTTCTTTTGCATTGGGAGCTAAATGAAGCGATTCCCAACCGCTTTTGACTCGTGACCCTTTAGAGTGAAGCAAAGTGAAGCTGGTCGTGAGCAATTTCACCAAGGACTGATGTTCCTTCGTATGGTTGTTGAAAAGTGTTTCCACATTTTAAGGAAATGAATGAAAAAAACATAATTTGTGTAGCAGGAAATGCTGTTTTCTTCTCATCTATTTTGTTAATCATGTTGTAAGAACACAGATTTATCTTGGGAACCACTGAGCTAAATAGATACAGAAATTTGACATTCAAATTACTGCAAAAGATCATTTCAGAGTCCAAAATAAAATGGATGAGGACTGACTCTAACTTTTACTTTGCATGGCATCAACTACAACCCACATGAGACGCAAGTAATTTTTGGTCTTTAAAGTAATATCATTTTAATGAAGGCCTTCCATCTCCTTCACTGTCTCTCTTTCTTCTTCATCTTGATGTCTTTCGCATAACTGTACCAGACTTCATCTCTGTTTCTACCCGCTTCCCTTTGATGAAGACCAGAGCACTAATGTAATGTAATGTCGTTACTGTTCAGTAACACACTGCCGTGATGCCTTTCATTACCTTCATAATCACTCACGCAGCTCATCAGCACACACGGTGAGAGAGAGAGAGAGACAGAAACAGAGAGAGGGAGACCTGTTTGAACTCCTAAATGATTCAAAAACAGACACACATAAATAGACAGAGGTGCCTGGCTGCATAATACTGGCCTTGTTCCCTTGCTTCAGCTCCATTAGAGCAGCTTAGGTCAAATGCTGAGGTAGTATGTCTGTATATATGTGTGTGTGCCTATATATGTGTTTGTGTGTGTGTGCAGAGTAGATTTATAAAGAGAACCACTGTTTTCACTGTTGCTCACTCCTCTGTCCTGATATTACAGGGTCTTACTCACAGTTTTTCAGGCCAGTGCAGCCTGTACCTGGGGAAATAGCTCCTGCTCACTTCTTGACCCTGCCAGTTAGAGGAACAGCCAATTCGTTCTCTTCGAGCAGATGTCTGCTGCTTCAACACTCAATGCTGGAAGTGCCTATCAGTAATACCTTCTGCGGGAGACTTCTGTATGTAAGTGGTTCTGTAAAGCCATGTAGCACAGGTTTCACAGCATGTGACTGGAGATTTTTTGGAGTCAGTAGTGCACATCATTTTGAACTGATTTTTCCATGTAAGTGGAACTGAAAACAGGACTGAAACATCTCTGGACACGCTGCCCTTGGCCTTTTTATCTCCACTCATTTCAGGTGTTTATTGGCAGCCAGTGTGTGACCTCTCAAGCAGCATGTCATGCTTCTGGCCTCTCATGTTCATTTCCAGTCATACATACATATAATATTACACTGTAAACAAGAAAAGTTCCCATTCTTTTTGAAATCATCCAGCCATAAAAACTCATCCGAAATGTGGGACATTTACCCTTTAACTCCTTATTAATCAACTATATATTACAAACAGTCAAAGATGAAATTAACTTTGTCTCCAGTCTCACCCAAATCACATTATAAATAAAGCATTTCCTCTTCAAGGAGACGATTAAATCTGCCTGTCTCCACACACACTTCCTTTAACTTGCTAAATCCTGCTTCACATAAGCTCTACACTGTCATTGTTTTTCATGAGACTATAAATAATGGAGTTCAGTTTTAACTCAGATTATTATTATGTAGAATAATTATTACTATCCAGAAGAGCGAGTTATTGATTAGTCAGAGAGAAAGGCTATCTAGATTTAGAGTGAACCAGAAAAGGGTTTTGTCTGTAAAAAATGTAAGAATGAAGAAAGAGAAATGAAATTGAAGGGTTGAATGTTTATAGAGAATGTTAAAAAAGTGCCATATCCACCATTCCTTAAAGTGATGAGACTACTACTTCTATGAGAATATTTGAATATGTGTCAAAAAGCTCTACCTGTCAAGCATCATGGATTTTGCTTTACTTCAGAACTGTACGTTTATGCAAATACAGGAAAACACAGTCAATATACTATATAAGGTCTGGTCACAGTATAAACTGAACCTGCTACAATGGATACAGTTGCACTGCTTTTAACTCTATGCATAAAGTCTACATATACTGTGCTATAGAGGGAAGCCAATTAGCATGAAGCCAGTGAAATGACAGTGTGCTGCTGCACATAGTTAGAGGTGTCATTTATCACAATGTACTTCCCTGCTCATTTACAGCCAATAAATGTCCCCCAGTGGAGCCGTGCTGTTTTCTGTTCATTTGAATTTCAACTCGAGGAGCTGATGGGACAGTTCACCCCAGTAAAATCTTTTCAAATGTCAGTAGTCTCATTTTACTTTTATGTGAGAGGTGATGACAGAGAAAGAGAGAGAGAGTAGGAGGAGAAGGAGGAGAAAAAGTGTTTTGAACAGGTAGAAGAGGAAGTGGAAGGTGTGAGAGAGTGAAATACAGGATATGTGCAAGGTGTGCAATTGTAATACATGCAGAAAGAGGAAGAAGGGAAGCAGGGGGGGTGTCGAAGAAGTGATGTGAAAGACAAAGTGTGAGGCTGTTTGAACAAAAAGTACTATTTGAATAAAATGAAGTAAGTATGAACTGAACCTTCGTTTTACTGGAGATGGCAGAGCGTTTCCCTCTGATGTCAAGGTTTGAAAGAAAACATATTAGAGCAATTCAAATGTACAAATACTCAACTGTCTCCTTATGGTGAAACAAGTACAACTAGTTAACTTACTTACTGTCAACTCACTCCAGCTCTGTCCATTTCAATATCTGCTCAAAATCACTACAGGTGCCTGGAGGCAAGTGAGGTTGGTGTGTGTATGTCTCTGTCACAGGCTACATTTAGGGACAAGTTGGATTAGGGTAAGGGATAGTTAATTGGGGCAGCCTGTCCTAGTGGTAGGAGTTAGGGTTTTAGTCTCCAGGAAATGAATGCGAATCTATCTATGTGATGTCCCCAAAAGTAACCTGTGACAACGTGTGTGTGTGTGTGTGTGTGTGTGTGTGTGTGTGTGTGTGTGTGTGTGTGTGTGTGTGTGTGTGCGTGCGTGCGCGCGCGCGCGCGCGCGCCCGCCCGCCCGCGCGCGACCGCGCGTGTGAGAGAAGATTGCTGGTACAATAAACATGAGAATCTCTAGCACAGATTAATGACGTGTTGTCCCAGCCCAAACCGGAACATGTGAAACAATGACAATCCAAAGACTAAAGATGGAATAAACAAAACAAACCAGGACCTACTGTGGTCAGCGGATCCCAAGTTAATGAGCAGCAGCAGCAGCGCACAAAGGGCAGTCCAGAGTTTGGTCTCCATCCTCTCTCTCCTCTGTAAGTACTCAATTAGAAAATGACAAAACAAATATCGCTCCCGCTCGTCTTGTTGTCTGACACTTGTGGCCTGTCACTCTCGTCCACACCCCGATACCACACTTTAATGGAGTAGTTTAAAAATCCCAGGCAGCTGTACGGGCTACTGTCCTACCCACCACAGTCAGCAGCTCTGCCAGTGTATGCGTGGCTGGAGGGACTGAGGGAGGAGGGTGCGCGTCCTGACTCTCACTCTCTCTCTCTCTCTCTCTCTCGCTCTCTCTCTCTCTCTCTCCAGAAACAGTGCCACGTGTTCCCTGTTCAAAATAGTCAGTGGGTCTGACTCCGTGCCATGGCACTTATTCAGTACAAAGGCTGACACCTACCCACACAGAGCATGTATATCAGGGTAACAGAAACCCATGCAACTGCTGGGCTACACAATGTGTTACTGTGCATCAGGGCAGATTGACGCACAGTATCACTCGCACAATAATACTTCTCTAGACTGGATTACTCAATGTGTCGGGGACTTTATTACCCTGTCTTACATATCTATATTATATTTATTAGTAATTTGTTGTTGTATGCTATTTATTATATAAGGCCCTTATATAATCGCTTCTGAAATTGATGAGATGATTACAGAAGTTTTTTGTTTTTGCGAAACATTATGCTGTTTTCGCACCAGTGACCAATGACTTGTACCATAGAGTGTATATGAAGTTATTCAGTTAATAAAGACAATTCTACATCTGGGACAACATGGAGTCCATGCCATGCTAGGGATTTTACTGTTCATATAATCTGACGCTTTCAAGTGGGTGTTTTGATGTATTGTGATGTCTTCTTTGGCCCACATGGGGGCGCTGTTGCCCTATAGCTGAGATGTGAAAAAGCACACATTAGTTCGAGAAAATCAAGTCTGTGAAATACAATACAATGAGATGACACTCCCAGCGATCCGTGCATGAAGCATAATTCTTCTGCAGTTGTTCACGTTATATAATGAAAAATGCCAGTTTAGGGGGTGTTGCCTAATTTCGTTGTCCTACTTGTGCTAAATGCAAATGTATGTTGACGCTTGTGAGCTCGTTCTTCATTAGCCGATGCTGCCCGAACACTGTTAACGCTTTGCGTGTGTTATTAAACTGACCGAAGACGTGTAATTCAATTCAGCGCACTAAAGCGTCAGTTTGGTCCATTATCCAACTTGCACAATAAAAATTGAACAAGGAAGTCGAGAGCCGGAAACAGCTCGTCTTCAAAGTAAAAGTTGCGCGTTTTCAACAAACGTGTTGGCTGCAACGGCCAAATTAAGGAGAGCTAAGCTAAATAAATAAACAAACTGTCGAATTCATCAATTTATTAATTTAATCAAGGTTACTTCATCTGTTACTTTGGCCATTAAAAAAAAACTACTTAAATAATAACGTATACTGTTGCAAGTGGGGTCACATGACAGCTGGACCAAAGAGCAGGCGGAGAACAGGTGTGCTAACTGGGCAGCTCACACAGGTGCTTTGGATGTTCTTTGTTCTGTGTCATGAGCTCATTCTCTGTTTGCCCTTCATTTCAGCGGCTTAACTTTATCATTTCACCTTTGTTCCTGAGTGCGTTGAGGGAGTTCATTTCATTATATTTTCTCAAGTCATGTTTATTATGTTGTTAAGTAGTAAAAAATAAAGGGCGGGTCAGCCTGCCGGTTTCCACCTTAAACGGTTCATCCCAGGTCTCATAGCTTGTGATTAAGTATATTGTGCATTACCATTTCATGCAAACATAAAAATTATTTTGGTCCAAAACCTTTTTTCTCAAGCCAGTACTAAGTACTTCCAAGCTCCTTGCAACACCTGCCAGACAGAGCAGGACAAATAGCGAGTTGTCTACCCTCTCAGATACCAGGAGAAGCAGCGACGTGGAAGAACACCTCCTGTCCTGGGAAGGAGAGCCTCCAGAGGTGAGATTCACTTCAGATATCATTGTTTCCTTTAATGACTACCAGATCTATATTAACACACACTGTTCTTTATGATTATCTTTCAGCCGCAAACTGGGCCAGTGCCAGCCGCCTGGTGAAGGCCATTTGCAGCCAGCCACGTGGTCCAGAGGGACTGTGAGGACTTGGTGATCCTTCATTGTCAGGGACTACGTGGCCATTAGAGAGGCAGTGCTGGCCAGCCTGACGTTGATGGCTCAGACCAACATCCAGCTCTTTGAATTGATTTGTATCAAATTGAGAACTCAGTGGTAAGAGTTTGTTATAAAGCTGTGTTGGTGTGTTGTAATCTGTACTGTGATTTATCTTTTAATGGAAGCTGTAAATCCTTGTCTGTGTGTTCCAGGTGCTGGCCAAACTCTCCCTTCAGCAAAAGGTCTATCATTGGTACAGGTGGGACAAGGACAGTCCTTTAACTTCAATGTCCCGGAGGAACAGCCTGGGCCCTCCAGCAGGGACCTGCCTCTTCCTCCTCTTCCAGACAATGACAATGGTATTTACTTTTGTTTGTTGTACTGAAGAAATCATCCATCCATCCATCCATCAATCCATCCTACCATCAGTTCTTTGCTGAATTTCCTGAACAAAATAAATGGTTAAATGTCTCTTGGATCCATGTGTTAAATGTGCACACCAGTCACCCCTGGTGACCTGAATGGTTTGATGGGGATGAAAATGATGGTAATCATATGCTGTGGCCTTCACAGTCACCAGATCTCAACCCAATTTAAGAACAACTGAAAATGTTTTGGCTCAACACCTTACTACTACACTTTATCTTGGTTTTTTCATTAATTTGTCAACTGTCTGGTATATTATACATCACTGCGATGTTTTACTCATCTACATTTATTAGGCTGCCACATTATTTACAGACCTAACACTGTTCCTCAGTTTGGTTGGGTTAAGCTGTGCAACATCCCCTAAACCTTTTATGTTCCAACCATATATATTGAACCCACCCCTTGATAAATAAGAATCAACGGTAACTTGCACACAGAAATTGTGTGTTTGTGAGTGAGTGACATGCGTGCTGTATACATATATAGCCTTTAATGTTCACCTAAAGTAACAGATTAAGTAACCTTACTCAAATTAATAAATTGATGAATAGCTGCATACATGAATTGTAAGATTTTATAATAATTCCAGTGTTCATAGGAAATTTATTCCCAATCAGTTGTGGGCAAGCGGAAAACCCTATAACAATTATGAATTGTGCTCATTATTTACACAGTTTTTTTTATTTATTTAGCTAAGCACTCCTTAAATTGACTGCTGCAGAACAGAATCTGTATTCTTCATATATTTGCTGTATATGTGAATAAAATATAAATATTTCAAAAACACAATCTATGGTCATATGCAATTAGCCTACTGAGAAAATGGAAAAAAAATATTTGAATGTATTGTGAAAACATGCTATTGTATGAGTTCATGCATATATCCACATGGTGTTTTTATATTGTGTTATATGTTTCCACACATGGTGCTTAATGTTACTTCCGTAAGGGGGAGGTATACACTAATGAATAGCCTATGATTTGTCTAATTTTGTATGTTTTGAAACATCCTCAATGTTTTCATGAATGTAAGACGCATTTAGAGGGTTTGTGTGGTGCTGCAAACAATATTCATTTGCTGCTAAAATCAATGTATAAATGTAAGGTTTTACATGAATTCAAGGTTCATACATGGATTCAAGGTTCAAATTCGATATTTCATAAAGCGTTTATCAACGGGGGACGCATTCAAATGTTGTTCATATACAAGAATTCAAGTGCTTTTGGTCGCATAAATAAAAAAAAAGCTAACTGAAACACAAGATAGCAGTTGTTTCATCTAAATGATTTAACGAAACACATGACTGAAGCTGCACGGAGAATTTAAGAAAGCTAATTATAAATACATAACTTAGTAATGATGCATAAACGTAAAACAGACGATTTCCCTGTGTATTTTTTTGTTCTCCGCTTTTAAATATTTGGGGAATTTAGAAAATGCTGTTTCATTTAGCGTATTATTGGGTGGTCCTTGACCAGTTACGCTGTGGTTACGCTATTTCCCACAGCGCCTGAATGTAGCAGAAAGCTCCTGGTGACGGAGCAGAGGCAGAAAAGCGGCAGGGAGCTGCCAGCATCGTCTCAAACCGTCGCAGGACAGAAAGGTGTGAAAATATTGGTCGTTTAGACAGCCTATAGATGATACACGGAGGCTGCACTGTTTTGATAATGTTGTCACACTCGGAAAAGGCTAGAATAACTGTTTCGCTTGGTATCATTTGTCACCAGAGTAGCGTTAAGTTACATGCCCTGCTACGTTAGCTGGTTTGGCGTTAGCATAGTGTTGCTAGCCATTTCTATAGAATTCTTCTGTAGTGGAGGTTAGCGTTAGCTAGCACGCTCTTAAGTTAACCGAGCTAATGTTAGCTTGCCGGTTAGCTTCTCGTGTGAACCTTAAAACCTATATTTATGAGATCGTCCAACTGACTTACAGATTCCGATTGCTACTGTGGAAATATTACGGTAACGACACTGTCTAGAAAAGGGAGTTTAATGTTGTGCTGTTAGCTCCTGAATGTGTTGCTCCTCTTTGATCATTTGACAGCTCCGTGTCAGCGGAGATATGGAGACACCAGGGAGGATAGCAGCCACACCGGACGCTCTGGACTTCACGGTGGAAAACGTAGAGAAGGTGAGTTTTTGGGCCAGTAAGTCATTGTCAGCAGCCTGTTGGCTTACAGAGCATCAGGGGTTTGTGGACTAAGTAAATCGTCATGTTTCAAACGAGACAAACTGCTAGAGAAATAAAGCGTAAGAGCATTATTTGCTTTTTAATCACAGAGTGCATCAATTTTTTACAGATTTAGGATAATATGGGATGGGGTAATATGTCTGTCCTTGCATACAGGGATTCAGCTCATCTGTCCCTGTTACATCTCTTCTCGCGTTTTCAGATTAGTCTTTACTGAATGGCCGATGTTCAGAAAGAATGAGCAGATAAGAGCAAAATGACAGGTTGTAGCCCGCCAATTCATCGCCATGCCTGTCATTGTGAAATGCTTGTCTGGGTCTTGTGTTATTTTGTGTTGGATTGAATATAGGCAGTGCTGATTGTGGCTGCCAGGTTGCTGTGGCGAATCTCCCTGCTGGGTGGTCACTGACTTGGACGAGAGCGGATGGGTGGGAGACAATGGGGAGGATTGGGGGGAGAGAGGGGGGGGGGGGGCGAGAGAGAGAGAGAGTTGGAGCAGAGTTGATGTGATGAGATGGACTGGAGAATGAGGGGAGGGAGGGGTGGGACAGGGTCGATGTCTGTGACAGTGACAGTAAAGAAAGAGGAGGGGGTGAGAGGAGGCTGGTGATGCGACAGATATAATTAGAGGCAGGTTTGAGGGAGAGAGGCTCATTCCTGAAGAGGAAATGGCTTGGCTTGATACTGTGCTTTCTGCTTTAATAAAAAGAGGGAGAATTACAAACACCAAGGTCCTGTCTCCCTTTGGACAATCTCTGTTTTCATTTTCTCATGTTTCGTTTCTACAAGTGGAAAGAGTGGTGTCTGTGAGAATGTATTGTTTTGTAATTTGGTGGGGGTAAAGAAAAAACAGAACTTTTCCTCTAATTTTGATCACATTAACTAAAATTGGATAAAACACTAGTATGTGCTGTGTGCATACCTAAGTAAATGTATAATTAATGTAACTAACAACTGCATAAATAGTTAGTTATGATTTAATAGGGTCTTTCTCAGAGAAAGTAACTGATACCCTACCTCATTAATTTCCGTGTAATATTCAACACATCAATCTATTTGTTAATAGGATTTTCCAGTACGTGTCTTAGGTACAATGACAGTAAACCACTGCTTACAAAAATACCCTAGCAAAAATAGTGCATTATATTTATCCGAAAAATTACCTGATGCACGTGTCGGATATATGTTCAGCATTCAGTGATTTATCCGATAATATGAGAAAGGAGATGCTAGCTGTGGTTAAATGTCAGTGTATTGATTGTTCAGAAAACAATAGATTTTAAATAAAAAATGTTTTGCTTCATCATCTATGATGTCATTGCCATGTACGTTAAGACACTGAACTCTGACTATCAAACTCATCTGCCTTTCCTCTTTTAGGATACCCCAACAGTACAAAGATGCCTGTAATTATCATATTTGAGTCTCTTTTTTTTTTTTAGGGTTTATGTAGTATATGGTGCATTTTCATATCCTGTGAAATCAGAATTAGTCTGCTACAAGTGGTACGGCACTATCAGTAATCTCATTAACTGATAAAATACGACAAACAGCATCTGAAGAAACATATCCCATGAAGGGTATGAGCACTTTTGTAATTACACTGCACTTGCATTTCAACATTGATGAGATACTGTTCTCCCAAGACTCAACTATATTTAGAAGGCATATTTCGACTGTTTGGTGAGATATTTTTTCTAGGTAATTTGGCTAGAATGACATATTTGTACTTAATTGTTTATGTAATCAGCACGATGCTGTTCATTCAGTGGAATTAAAGGGAGACAAAAGGTTTCTTTAGAATCAGTGTGTGCGCCTAAAAGCATCATATTAGTGTCTGCATCAGACCATCAGCTCAATGCTTTTACCAGTAATTTTATTTTCCTCTCTGCCAGACAGTCACAGCAGCAGGTAACTGTACTGTAAATATTCACACCACCAGCAGACATGTCACAGTGTTCATCTGAAGACATCAACAGAAAGAGAAATTGTGCCTCTCATAAGATGATGCGAGCAACTGCAGTTGCAAGAAGAGTGAAATGAAAAAACGACCAGCAGTGCAGAATTGTCACTTTTGTACTGTGGGCTGTGGTGGAGATGATGGTTCCTGGCCCAGTATTTGTATGTGTCCAATAGAAAGGCCTTTGTTCAGTCTTGGGTCAGTGAAACAAACTACCACATTGTCAGTAACTTTGTGTGTATATAATGAATGGGTTCGTATGCCGCCTTAAATTTCCGCTTGACTATAATTAGCTTCAGAATCACTATCTACCAAGCAAGTGGATTTTAAAGTCAGAGGTCTACACTGTGCTGTTGAACAGTGTGCATGTCAGGGTTTTTTTTCATTTAGCATTTCTCCCCTTAGCCAAACAACTACTGTACCATCAGAAAGAAGCCCAGCCTTCACTGGGTCATCATCTTGCTCAAGGGCACTTGGTCAGGGATGGCATTCTGTTACTGTAATTATCTGTAATCACCTGGTCAG